GAATAGCAAGGTATAATTATTCTAAAGAATTTGAGCAACACTAAGTAAATTTTGACATGTTTGAGGCATTAGGAACACATTTTGAACATACCCAATCTTCCTTCACAAGCTCACTTTTAGAGTTATTCAATTTATTTTTAATGAGTTCTTCCAACCCAAATAGTAATTTCTCAGTGATGGAAGTATGGGGTTTGTTTTCTAAGAATTGCATTGAGTTGGGGACCTATAAGTTTATTTTATAAGCAGAATCCCTCTTATCAAGGAGATACTACTATCTCAAACTTAGGTAATTCAAAAGATAATTGGTAATTATCATAATTCTATTTAAATAATGAATAGTTATTACAATCTCATTAAAACTATATCACTTATCATCAAACTAAAAGTTAAAATCATTAAAAATAATGGGATTTTTAATTTTAAAATTAAAAATTCTAACAGACCATCGCTACGATAATATCTAGTGCCATCGTAGCTTTCTCAAAGAGGTTATTGCTGTCTTCCCAGCTTTTCCAAGTTGCCTTTTATAGAGCCAGCAGCGTCAAATTTTTTTTGCCCTTTTTCTAATGCCTACTTGCCTGTAATATAAGCCCAAAATTTAGACACCCTTTAAATTTGTCTTCTATCTAACTGTCGGCTCAACCTTATTCTCGTCTGAATTGCATTGTGTCAACCCTTAAATTATTAGTCTGAATTGCACGTGACAGAAACATACATAGATTTGTTATTCATATCCATGCCATGCCATGTCGTTTTCTACGTGGGTATGGAAACACTATACCATTTCTTTTACTTTAATTTAACATACCATTTATAAGCAGTCAAACAATGCAAAATGTGACTAAATTAAAATATTTAAAGATGTCAAGCAATTCCGATGTTAAGATTTTACCAAATGGATTTGCAAATCTGATTTTGCTTCAAAGATTTGAAATCTCTGACTGTTAACTCAATTGGCATCCCTCCTACAAGCAATAGTTGCTCTCCCAAAGCATTACAGTACCTGGAATTTTCGGGCTGTCCACTGTTATTGGAGATATGCCAAAACAAAACAAGTAAAACTGATCAATGATCCCCGAGATTTACCTTGATGGAAAAAAAAGAAAAGTTAATCCTCTGTTTTCATTTATAGGTATGGCGCGTGTAAAGGGTCCTTTGATGTGCGGTAAGGTAGTAGTGTGGCAGAGGGATGAAATAGGAATAAGTCTAGACTTTTTATTAATATTTATTGATAGTAGATCCTTTGATGTTAATTTGAAAATTTCAAATAATGTAAAGAGAAGGAATTTGGATAATTAGTTTTTTTTCATATATATATATATATATATCCATACATTTTTAGATAATTAAATCGTATATTTTTATTTAATTTTTGATACATATGAATTAGTTATCCATCAATCATAAGTCTCTGCACACATCACAGGTTCACACGACCACATAACAAATCTCGTCATAGGCGACCCTCATAAAAGTCTGGAGAGATAATACGAAATTGTGGATGACAAGGACGACTACGTGAACTGACTTTCCCTAGAGTCGCAAAGATAAATCGGAAAAGTCTGCTGTAATCAACAATGACTATACCGCGGCTGACGCCGTCGTCGATCTTCTGCTCAAGATGTTGCTGACAAAAATCATAATATTCTCAGATGCAGTACATACAGGAACGGCTCAAATTATCTGCAATCGAACAAAGTTAAGTTGGGTCGTCGCCCCCCGCCCACAAACATGTTTTTCCCTGTACGTTGGGGTAATAGACCAAAACAAATTTTAATGGTGTGCCAGCTTTGTTCCTTTGCGGCGCCGCTGAATAGTAGCGCGGAAAAATGTCAGAGCCTTTGGTATGTTATCTAGCTAGCTAGCTAGCTAGAGTCTTGGACACGCTATCGCACATTCCCTCGTACCAAACTGAACTTAGAATACGCCAAAATCAGAAAACGTTTTGACTGTGTTATCTGCATGCAAAGGCCGAGGAATGGAGACTGCTCTCTTGCCTTGCTGATCACAAGGCTATCACCGGCGTTGCCTTACTCGTTCCTTCACCAATTAATCACATTCCCCTGGAATTTGGTACTGTGGATTTATTTCTTTCTCAACCAAAAGGAATTTATTAATAGATCAGTAACTAGACAGAAGGCCACAAAGTTTAAAATTAGAGCAGATTGCGAAGTTTCCTTTGTTTGATAATATATAAATAACTTGATTGAGAGGGCTCACCTTAGAGATTATGTGTGGTATTTGTTTGATATTATATGTGTCTGAATGGTCATTAAACAAATCATGATCTTTATGGAAAGCCTCTCAACTGAATTATTTGCTTTTTTTTTTAACCAAAAAGAAAAATATTTTGTTTGACATTATATAGCACGAATGATCATTACGTCTTTAAAAAAGATATTACTAATTTTAACTATTGAAATTCGAGATTAATTTAACTTGAAAGCCGCAAACCTCTTATTATGTAATCGAAGATCACCATGTACAAAATTAAAAGATTATTAAGTTTTGCTTTGTCGACTAGATGAGTTAGGAACATTGGAGAACAAAGCTATATATACCTGCTTTTGTGGTTATTATATTACTTCTATGTTTGGGAATATGAAAGAAATATCTTGTTATATATCTCAAATAACGCCTATATTATGGCCACTCATTATCAAACAAAAAACAGGATTGCACCATATACGCATTGGATAATTATTGTATAAAACAATGGAATAAATGATCGATTTCAATTGCATAATCAATAAATATTTTATCTTGTATCAAAATATTTGGATCAATAATTGGTGCATATTTTCCGTACTCAAAGAATTGATTTCGAATCCCTTCATCTTCATTGCATATAAAAAATATTCCTTTTATTTATCAAAATAGATCATTTTAAATACTATTCTCAAAATAAAATCAATTTAAATGTTGTTTGATACAAATGTTATTCTCAATATAGCATTTTTATGAGATAGAATAATATTATTCATAAGACATCTATCAATTTTATTCATATATTGATCAGTTACAAGTAAATGAAAGACACACTCAATCCTTTGATTCGGTAATAAGTGTGTATGGCCTTATTCAAAAGCTGGATTTAAGTCTTGCTTCTTCAAATACAAAAAAAAAAAAAGGGATAAATTCATCGAAATATCAAACACATCTTTTCTTTATTCTAACCTTCAAACCATTTTCAACGTGAAGCCCGATAGAGTGGCTGCTTGGGCAGCCAGTTTGGCCCTCCACCACTTCAACTTGATAATTCCAAAGTACGTTAATTGCCACTGTCTTCATATGTTTGAAACTCAGGTCTTTCCCTAAACAAACTCTTGGTCCTGCACTAAATGGTATGAATTTGTAAGATGGTACGTGTACCAGGTCTCCATGCTCCGAAATCCACCTTTCTGGTTTGAATTCTAAACAATCTTTACCCCATATTTCTTCCATCCTTCCCATTGAATAGACAGAAATAAAGATCCTTGCTCCCTCATCAACATCATCTCCGCTTGGAAGAACATCTGATTTGATTACAGTTTTACTGTTGACGGGTGTGGGTGGGTATAGTCTTAATGTCTCACACAAGGTTGCATGTAGGTACACGAATTTGTTCAGCTCTTCCCCACTGAAAGACATCAACTTACTATCTTTGCTTGCTGGGGAATGCACCTTGATCTCTTCTAAAATTTTGCTTTCTACGTATGGATGTGTTGAAATAAGCCAGAAAAACCAACAGAGGCCGGTACTGATAGCGTCCTTTCCTGCTGTTATGAAGCTGTAGGCAGTGTCCCTTAAAAACTTATCAGATTTCCCTAAAGCACTCATTTCTCCTTCTTCTTCGACTATAAAGGCTGTCAACAAGTCGAATTCATCGTCTTCCACTCTTGTTTTGGTGCTTAGTTTTTCTCGTTTCGATGAAATGCAATTGTATACGAAATCATCCACGATTTTCAGACCTTTACTCAACTTCTTCTCCTCCCCAATCTGAAGCCATCTTTGCAACTTCCAAACGCCTACAGGCAGTATATTCCTGTACAGCAAGGCCTCCTCTACTTCATCAAATGCCACTTTGCTAGGAACTTTTGAAAATTCCGCTGATAGAGTTTTGGGGTCGAGGCCCAATGCTAATAAGCATATGTGGTCATAGTCGAACCGTTGAAGTATATCTTCGAGGTCCACTTCAGTTTTCAAATTCACGACATGCTCGAGGACCGGCATTAGACATGTCTCCAGCTTTTGCCAGAAAATTTTGTCTAAGTAGCGCGCGTACTTTTTGTTATTCTTAGTCAATGAATGCAAAACCTTCCTTTGGCTTCTCCATCTATGTGAATCAGAAGTGACAATTCCTTCTCCGAAGGGTTCAAAAATTTCTCTGAACTCCGAACCCTTCTCATAGTTGTCGAAGTTTCTGCACAAAATGTGGTAGACATTCATGGGATCGCTAGTGAGAACGAAGTCCAAGCTAGGAAACCAAGGTCCCTTAAACTTGAAAGTTCCCCCATAGAAGTTAACAAGATCAGTGAAGAACTCGAAAACTCGCCCTGAGTTGCAAAGAAGCGCTGGCATCATTCCAACAATGGGCCAATTTGTAACGAGGGAGTTTCTGTTTCTATACCAATGGCCAAGAAAGAGAAAAAGGGGAATGAGGAGAATCGCTATACTAATCTCTAGTGACATTGTCGCTAGCTTTTCTCAGAGAGGTTTTTGTTGTCTTCCAAGCTTTTCCAAGCTGCCTTTTATAGAGCCAGCGAGCGGGAAAAACTTTTTCTTTTCCTAATGACTACTTCCCTGAACGCGTAAGCACTACTTTTCGACGCTGTAAATATCTTTCTTCGGTCTACAACCGTCGCCCAAACCTTGTTCTCATCTTTTTGTTAATTCTGAAATTATTATTCAGATTTCAATGAAACAGTACAATATTTCAGTAACATTAGTTAATGAAAAGAAATTTTCAAATGATTGATTATTTACAAAAAATAAATATTCATTTATATATATATGTCGTTTGTAAATAATTAAACTGTATGATTTTATGAACAAAATAATATTACTTTTAATTAGAATGTTTTTAGTTTGACGTTTCAAATTCATTTGTTTTGAAAAGTTTATGTTAATATTGACTTTTTTAAAAAAAAAAAATTCACATGTTAAAGGTCAAATTCTGTATTCAATTTCTATACTCAATCAGATATTTGATTTAATCTACTATAATTCGTGTAAATTGAATCTCTATATATTTAAAATTTGCTAATATTAATCAAATCCTTATAAAATATTTGACCTGTGGTATTTCTTATTGACCACTTCAAACTCCACGATCCCTTCAATCTTCAAGTTATCGGTTGATGTTAGGACATTGTCGCATTGTATATAATCTTCATTCAACCTTTTATCGCCCACTGCATCGAAATTGCCTCAGCATGCAGCTATGTTATAGGCGAACGTGTAATATGATCCTGCATGAACCGTCACACCATGGACAACCACCCATTTTCTCGTAAGCTTGGTGTTGAAATTTGTACTCCACTGATCAATCGAGGAAAACCAGCTTGTTACCCATCCCCACTTCCTCTCCTCCATGTCTTTAAACTCTACCGGGTCGAAAAAAGTGCTTAGGTGATGGACTTTTCACCGTTAAGCCAATATAACCTGCCATCCTAAGGCTGATTAATTCCACTATAGTGTCCTCCTCTGTTGTCACGACAGCACTACGTGCCAAGCGATGGAGACTTTCATCGTTAAGGACCCCATTACATGTCCTTACTCTTCCACCATTCAACCCAGCTGTGTTTGAAACCGCACTTATTTCTTCTAGTCCCTTAACCACCTATGCATATGATCTTTTCCAATTACTTGGCCGTTCATTCACCTCTACTTCACTGGTTTTTTCCTTTCTCAACGGTGCTGATTGTTTTTTTTTTTTTCTAAGTTGGTGTTTTATTGAATTTGAAGCTAGAATGCCATGGAGAGTCTTCTACTAAAATGGTAAAAGACTCCTTTTGGTATAGAAGCTAGCTTAAAAAGTCAGCACGATACAATTACAAAATTGCCAAACTGCACAACAAGAGATTGGCAGCATACAGCAGGAACAGCCCTTGGGCACAAAGTTGTGATTGTCTTACACCGATATTATCTCTGCACCTCCTCCACTAGGTGTTCCTCCCCAAACCTTGCCAAATTCACATTTATTCTCTGGTTCAGCCACCATGAGCCATTCCATCCTCTCACAGGCAACTCTCCCCTCTAACAAGTTCTCAAAACTCAAAAAATGGCACCTCTTTCCCGCCTTACTTCTTTCCCTAGAAATGAACACATTAACAACCTTTTCCCATTATCGGAATGTTTCCTTCAACCATCGCCAATATACCATTTCGGGTATGTTGTTGACAAACACCTAGAATAACCGTCGATCATATTAGAAGTTTTTCACCATTTCACCTGAAAGTGTTCATCGCCCATGAGGGAGATATCTTACATGTCTTTGCCTCTGATTAAACCTTTCTTGCGTCTTGATGACATGGATCATTTTTGGAACTACTTATTTTAAATAGTCAAGATAACTATATATTGAATAATCATTATAAAAGGGCATCATTTTAAAATCATTTTCCTTTTTTTTTTGAAAAAAGGTCCATTTTATTAACACAAAATCATTGAAACTGTTGAAATAGGACTTGCATTGAAAACTACATCAGCTCATACTATTAACCAAAGGATTATGTGTGTTTATTTTGTGTTAGAATAGCTAGCTCATTGTCAAAGTATGATAGCTATGCACTCACTGAATGACTTATGTGATAATTAGCATATAAACTTGTGTCTTGCTTCTGTTCAAAGCTTGTTTGTTAAGTCTTTGTTGTATATTTTTGCTAAGTCTATGTATATCAGAACATGATTACGATGGGGAACTAAATCATTCATATAAGATTATGATTGAACTCAATACGTTGTCTGATTTATTTATCTCTTTTTTATTTATATTTGATGAATTTAAGTTATTTATTTAATTCTGTTCTTAATGCTTTTAATTGCCTGATCACTAATTTTATTGAATTGAAAACTTAGGTTAAACTTTGACGAAAGAAATTTAGGTAGATCTTGAATAGAATAGCGTATGATCAAATACATTTAGTTAATTAAGTGGTTTGATTTGCAAATAACGTAGATATATACCTATAAGCCATACATAACTAAGATTAGAGTACGAACTTAATGAATTTTTTTAATTTAATTTGTATAGACATATAGTAAATTAATTTATAGAGATATTTTTATGAGAAACTCGACAAAAATTTGTATATAATTTAAGACTCTAGGTTAGCAACTTAATCTATTACATTAAGTTAAGAGAGAAAGATAATAATTAGATGAAGTATTGAGGGATATCATAATCTTAGGTCTAAAAGTCAATCAAATTTTAAAAAATAATTTTGCTAAGTAAATTTAGATTAGTTTCAGTTTTTAAGTTTGATTTTATTTTGTTTTTTAATTTTAGTGTTTGGATAAAATTAGCATGTATAGTTTTAGTAATTAATAGTAAGAATTAGTTCAATTTCCTGTCAGATCAACATTCTACTCATCATTATATTATCTTTAAATACGTATACTTACGTGGGTAGAAAATTAAACAACATGAAACATCTAAAAATATTTGGTAGCATTTGCTACATTCATGTGACTGATGCAAAAAAATCTAAGCTGGAACCAATGGCTGAGGTAGGAGTGTTCTTGAGATACAATTTAAGTGCAAAAAGATACACACTTTTTAATTTGAAGATCAAGAAAGTTCAAGTGGCCAAGGACATAAAGTTTGATGAAAATGCAAGGTGGAATTGGGTGTCTAACCTGGTTGAGACATCAAATGAGGTTACTATTAAAAGTTATTCATGAACTTGATTATGATCTTAATGACACTAAATTTGCTGTCAGAGGAACCAGGACATTGAAAAGCATCTATAATAGATGCAATATGGCCATTATTGATCCTACAAGCTATTTTGATGTTAAGGACTCAATTCACTAGCAAATTACAATGTAGGAGGAGTTGAATGTAATTCATAAGAACAAGACCTGGTCATTGGTGGACAGGACAGACACTATGAATGTACTTAGTGTTAAATGGATCTTTAGGACTAAATACAATGTTGATGGGTTAATCAACAAACACAAAGCAAGACTTGTGGTCAAAGGATATGGTCAACTCTTAGGAATTGATTTTACTGATACATTTGCACTAGTGGCTAGATTTGAAACGATTAGATTTTTACTTGCTATAGCTGGTGGTCTTGGTTGGGAGGTTCATCATCTTGATATCAAGTCACCACTCTTGAATGGAGTTCTACAAGAAGATATTTATGTTGAAATACCTGAAGGGTTGAAAGTTAATGATAGGGTCAACAAGGCCTACAAGTTGCATAAAGCCTTATATGGTCTTAAACGAGCCCCTAGGGCCTAGTATAGCAAGATTGACAACTATCTGGAGCTAATAGGTTTCTGTAGAAGTGTCAATGAACCCTTACTTTATGTCCTAAAGATCCATGATCAAGTAAAATTGATAATCTCCTTATATGTAGATGACCTGTTTGTTACAGGTCTTGAAAGAAGGTTTATAACTCAGTTTAAGGCTACCGTGAAAACTGAGTTTGAGATGACTGATTTGGAAAGTGAAGTACTACTTGGGATTTCAAATTGATCATTTTGACTGAGGAATTTTCATCAATTAGAGAAATTATATTTTAGAAGTTTTGAAGAGATTCAATATGGAGAAAAGCAAGCTTGTTGCTACTCCTATGGCTATAAATGAACAGTATAATGCATCAGATTCACATGAACTTGCTGATCCTTCAAGTTATAGAAGTTTGATTGGTAGCCTACCCTATATATGTGGTTCAAGGCCATATATTATGTATTCAGTTAGTTTTTTGTCCAAATTTATGCAAAAGCTGACAACTTTGCTTCTACCGGCAACTAAGAGAGTTCTAAGGTACTTGCATGGTACATTAGATTTTGGCTTATATTTCAAGCAACTAAATGAAGTCAAATATATTGAATACAATGATAATGATTTTGTTGGAGATCCAACAGATTTCCAAAGCTCATCAGGATATGTGTTTTATTTGGAAGGAGTTGCCTTTAGCTGGAACTCAAAAAAACAAGAAGTAGTGGCTCAGTCAAAAGTTGAAGCAGAATATATTGCTGCTATGAACAAAGTTGTGTGGCTCATAAAGTTGTATTTGGATTTGAAGTTTGAACAAAAGGAAGCTACTGAACTATTCTTGGATAGCAAATAAGCAATTGCCATTGCCAAGAACCTTGTAATCCATGGCAGAACCAAGCACATCAATACTTAGTTTCATGGCGTCCGAGAGGTAGAAAAATTAAATGAAGTCATGTTTAGCTACTGCAATTCAGATAAGCAAGTAGCAGATATTTTCACCAAGGCACTACCAAAGGAGAGGTTTGAAGACCTCGGATCGATGCTAGGGGTTTGCCAAGCAAGTTCTAAGGAGGAGTGTTGAAATAGGACTTGCATTGAAAATCACATCAGCTCATACTATTAAGCAGAAGATTATAGGTGTTTATTTTGTATTAGGACAGCTAGCTCACTGTCAAAGTATGATAGCTATGCATTCAGTGAATGACTTATGTGATGATTAGCATGTAAACTTGTGCCTTGCTTCTATTCAAAGCTTGTTTGTTAAGTCTTTGTTGTATATATTTGCTAAGTCTAAGTATATCAGAACATGAGCCTACCGTTTTGAAAAATCACCTTCACTTTGCTCTGTTTTATACTTGTTCGATTCTACCATTACCAAAACACAACAGAACAATACATCTAATCCACATATAATATTTCTAGGCACACTAATACATAACTAACTCATTACTCTTGCATATTAAGAGAGCCTCATTAAAAACCTTCTCATGATAAACCAATAGGACGAATCTAGGATGGGGGCAATTGCCTCACAGAGATCTTAATGTCCTTTAATTATATTATAAAATTTTTAATGAGTGGATGCCCTTTGCATGACCATAAACAATATTATGTTTGTTCATACTTTCAGGGAGGCTAACACCATGGCGGCTTCTTTGACAGAATTTGGCGCAAATAGGAGCGAAATGTTCTATGCATGATAGTGGTGCCCTGTTTGTGTGATGGTGCTGTCTATCCTGAATTTTGTGCGTGACTGCAGCTGCCTCTAATTTGTTGCGTTGGTGGTGCAATTGATGTGATAATAGGATTGCCTCTGGTTCATACTTTCTGTGTGAGGACTTGGTGCTATCTGGTGGATTGTTGTTTTTACATGCTGTGCTGTGGATGGTTGGTATTTTAATGGCAGCATGTTAAGGCTACGAGCGAATAATTGAAACCTGACGTATGATATGTTTTAGTGTTTTATTGGCTATAATGTAACTGTCCTGGTGGTGATGTCTATGTGTCTCTGGTGCTATGTAACGCAGGCTATGGTGTCTCATGTGTTTGTTTATGGTGCTGCGTCAGGTCTTTTATTGTCGGTTGTATGTGTCTCTACGTGGTGATCTGCTCTTTCAGGCGTGTGTTTGTATCTGTTCTATGAGGTGGTCATTTTATTTGGACAGTTTATGTCTCACTGTCTGCTCACCCCTTCTTTCAAGGGTATTGTATCTTCATCTCATCTACAAAATAACAAAACAATGAAAGATATTTTTAAACCAAAATGTTATCTTCTATCTCATTCGTTACCCTTTTTTTCCATCGAAGAAAAGTTATTAAATATATCAGAAGTAATGTCAGAAGCAGTGGATTGAAAAGAATAACATGTAATTTTATGAAAATAAATAAATAAATACAAAGGGGTGAGATCACTTTCTCCTTTCAACACTCAAAATTATTCAAGTCATAAGTAATTACTTTCTTTGCATTTTGATAATTTTAATTATGATAAAGTATTTATTTACTATTTGAAATTTTTTATATTGGTAAAATAAATTTGGTGTATGTAGAGAATTAATCAAAAACTATTTTAGAAAAACAAATTATCAAATTTGAAAGGAGATTCTTGAATTAACTATTGCTTTGTTACATATATATATATATATATATATATATATATATATATATGAAAAAACTATATTTTATATTGTTGCACTTCCAAATTATACATATATGTGTATATATATATATATATATAAAACCCATTAAGAGCATTTGTTATTATTACATAGAAACAAAGCGATTTTCTTCACTTGCGTTAATTTGTATTTATACCTTTGTCATACTAATTAAATGGAACATATACTAATTTGTCCTCGTCGGTAAACATAAATCATGAATCCGTCCTTGAATATACATATATAACACCACCCATTCCTACCTTGGTAGAGTGTTTTGTATACCAACAACCATGAAAATTGAGCATTTAATCCACTTTTAGAAGGGTTTAAGCTCAATCTAGAAACACGCTTAGTTCTAATTATCTTCTTTCAAGCCCTTCATGACTTAATTGCAATGTACAATAGCTGTAAGCACACCACACGAAAGACAAGTATTGGGTGGTCGCTCTAAAATTGGTATGGCATCTACCGAGATTTATATGCTGGATGCCTGGTTAAATATATTTATTTTTATGCCATGCATGTTTTTTGAGTTATCTAGTAAATACTTTCATTAGTGGTAAATATCCATCTTAACTAAGTTTTGTTTCATAGTAGATTCTTCCAATTAAACAAGAGCTTGTTTTAAAAGATTTCATACTTCTATTATTCTTGTTCTAATGTGTTAAGAATATGATTCGGATATAAATCGAAAGCAGTTTGAGTTTGTTTTTTTAATTTTTTTTTGCTGATAATAATTATGCTTAATGGATTAGCTTGCTTATGTTTATAGAGTTCTATTACTTCTTGATCAGTGAGAATTTTAATGAATTTTACTTATTAAGAAATGTTCAAGAGATTAGATTTTAAAAGTTATCAAATATCTGTGAGATTATAATTAAAGAAAGAAAGAGATTATTAATTATATAATTATTAAATATACTACCAGCCTTTAGTTCTCTTCCATATATGGCATTCTTTCTTTTTTAATTAATTAATTCTATAAATTAGGTTTTATTTTTTTATCATTTGTATTACTAGAATTACGAGATATGTTTTACCCTAATGTTGACTTATTCAAAAATGCATAATAATTTGCTTCAAAATGGAAAACAAATTAATGCGTTAGATGAACCCAAGCTCAAAACTGATTGAATTTGAAACACAAACAATTGACTCAATAATTTAAAACAACTTGAACACTTGCAGCGTAATTTCGAAATGACTTGAAACCAAGATGACTTGAATCACCCGAATGCGACCTTTAAATATTTATTTTATAATTGATATATTATAATCGATATAATTAATGATAAAATTTTTATTCAGGTATTAATTTAAGTATTTAATTATGATTCACATATTGTATGTGTAATTAACTCTGTTAAAAATTACATAAACGGCAGAATTTTACTTTAGAAATATAGTCGACAATCCTAATTTCTTCTTGCAAGACTTGGATTAATACGAATAGACTTTGAAGAATGAAAAGTAAACGGAAAAACCGCAAAACCTCGAAGAAATAATTGTTGAATAATTAGTTCCATAAAAATATTGACGTGCCCATTTTAAAGAAAAATCACACATAAAATGTTTTGTGGATGAGACAACAAGCACTACTATTTGGTCTATGGGGCTAGACGCCGGTGTAATTATAAACAAGTGAATAAGGTAGTTGTCGTAGTCGTTCAATCACTCATTGTACATTAATATATAACCGGTCAAAATTATTAATAAACTAAAAAAGAAGAAAATTAATAAGAAAGAAAAAATCAATTTTCTAGAGGTTTGAAAGCTCAACTTCAAAGGTTTATTTGCTAATTTAATTAATTCGTCTTTCCTTCCAAACTTTCATATTATTTTTTACATGGAAGGTAGAGACTTTAAATTGAGATTAATTCATCATTGACATTGACAATATTGCTTGAGTGTCTAGGGTAAGTTTCAATTATTTAGATGTTTATATTCGTAGAGTTTAAAAATTTTGTGGTTGCTATATTGGACAAGAACTGTTATTATATTGGAAAGAATAACAAGCTCTATGATTTGGGACCACTAAACTATATAGTCATATTGTAATATTTATATCTAACTTTATTATTTACATTTTGAATGTAAAACAATTAAATAAATATATTTTAATGGGTAAAATAAATCGCTAAAATTATGAAACTATGACTTTACAATTATAAAGACTCCTGGTAGCACCCATCTGCTGCCTATTCCACAATGGTAAAACGACTACTGCCGCCGCCGCCTCCTACTCCTGCTCCTTCGCAGCCGCTATGGTCGTCCTCTTTATGATTAATTATGAGTTTAATGCTGGCTTAATTTTATCAACTAACCAAAATATTGTATGGTATTCCAACAATTATGAATTGTGATTGGATTAACGTGTTTAAGTCTTAAAATAGGTACTTAATTGAAAAAGAGTGTTCAATTAATTAATTTTTACTATTAGAGAGGTTATGGCTAGTTTACAATTAGAGAGCAATTGATAATAAATTTATTATTATTAATGATATTATTAATTATAATTTTATTTTATTTTATTTGATATTATATTCACGATCAAATTTGACTGATTCTAATAACTCCAAACAGAATAAGAAATGAATTCATAATTTTCAATCTTTACTCTTTTCAAATAAAAGAAATATTACTTGATTTCAATTGGTTGAACCATCTTTTTTCCCATTTATTTTCCTGGGAAAAAAATTCGATTGGCGGATGAGCATAAGAGGGGGCTGCAAAGAATGAAAATTAATAGGAACAGAAGAAGTTGAATTCCACGTCTCTTTGTCCTTTATTAAGTTGCCAAGATAATGATGTAGTAGGATTGGGGAAATCAATTGACAAACAGTTATCCTCTAGTGTTGAGGCGGGGTCTAGATGAAAGTGAAAGGGCAGTAGGCTTTTCATATCTCACTCAAGATCCGTATCAAACTAGTAGAGTAGATATCTTATATAAAATCAAACACCTTAAGGTTTGACCTTTTTTCTTTTTAATTTTTGACAAGGTAAAATATTAAAATAAAAGCGAGTTATTGTCATTAAACAAATCACTACAAACATTCAACGTCATTACGTGGAGTAAGGAAAAAACAAAGGAAGAAGTATTATTCACAAGTTTGTGTAGTTTTAATTAATGATAACTGAGATTAGAAGAGAAATAAATCTAATTTAAGTGGGGCAGGGGTAGGTGGTGTGGCCCACTTTGTCAAGGTGGCTACTGGCTAAGGCTTCTCGGTATCTCTCTTCCTTCAGTTTTCTCTCTCTTTAATTCAACTGAGAAATCGGGAATCTGGAACAGCCAGCAAGTTAGCGCAACCTCCTCGTCTTCCAATTTTTCTATTTTCTAATATTTTTATAATAAAGAATGAAATTATTGTTTGCTGATGTCGTTCCCGCATCAGTTGGCTTTAAGGTTTCACAGGAGACGGTTTCCTCCTCCTCCTGCGGTCTCCACCTGCTGCTCCTTCGCTACTCCTCCTCCCCGTGACTCTTCTTTTCTTTCCACTTCATCCTCTTCTTCCGTCGCTATGTCTCCCGAAATCTCGATGCTCATTCGCCGAGCTGCTTTTATTTTCACCGCCGTCACCCTCTCCGCTTTGCTCCTTTACACTGCTAATGATTCCCTCCGCTTCCTTCGTTTGTCGCCCGGTTACCTTTCTTCACCCTCTTTCTCTCGCTTTTTCCCTTACTTGTACGATAACTCTTCTTCTACGGTTAGTTCTCTTTTCCTTTTCTTGCTATTGTTATCTTGCTTTAATGAATTGGAAGGTAAGTTCAAAACACAAGAATTATTGTGCAAATAATTTTCTTATGAATTGGATTTGAAAAACAGTTACTTGGTTCACCTTGTTACTAGTAGAGTAAAATATTAACTATTTACCTTATTGCTGCAAAACTAGGAATTAAATTGGTTAATTTAGTTTTAATTTTCCCGGCATGATAGAGCTAGTGCTTAGTCGAGACTGTAAGGATTCTCAGATAATTTTTTGGACAGTAAACTTTTTCTTGTGCTATGAGCTTGCTGGATTAAATCTGGCTTGTTATCTTTGTATCTTCTTCCTTGTGTTTGTGGAAGTAATCTTATCTAAATGATGAATTGTTTCTGTTTGATGAATTTATAGATATGACGTTTTCAGATTCTGTGTGGGCGGGGTACTGCATACTTAATTTTGAATTTCAAATTTAGAGCTTAGTGGCATGCTAGCTTGTATATTATTCCTTGTGCTTATGGAAGTCATTTTATCAAAATGTTAACTTGATTCTGTTTGATGAATTTGTGTATGTGACGTTTTAGATGCTCCATCAGTGGGGTACTGCTTACATAATTTGAATTTAGGGTTTAGTGCTCTCTATTTGTTTCCCTTGTTTTGTAGTAATATCACTGAAACAACTAGAACAACTAAATTTTTACATATAACAAATATGGCATGCATTAAAGTGAAGGCCTACGACACACTTATAGGATGAGCTGCCTAGTATGTTTTCCTATTAATGCTTACCTGTGAAAAGAATCCAAGGAATATCCCTGAATATTTTTTCATTCGAAGTTGTTTTCCTGCAGAACTCCATGCAACAGCTTGAAGAAGTTTTGAAGAACGCTTCCATGAAGAGTAATACGGTCATTTTAACAACTTTAAATGATGCCTGGGCGAGTCCCAATTCAGTTGTTGACCTTTTCCTTCGGAGCTTTATGCTTGGAGATGACACACGTAGGCTTTTGGACCATTTGGTGATTGTTGCCTTGGATGAAAAGGCATATAATCGTTGTCAGCTTGTACATAAGCATTGCTATGCTCTTGTCACTGAGGATGTTGATTTTCATCAGGAAGCATACTTTATGACCCCACACTACTTGAAGATGATGTGGAGAAGGATTGATTTCCTGCGATCTGTCCTTGAGTTGGGTTATAGTTTTGTTTTCACGGTATTTGCCTCTCATTCTGGAAAATTTAATCTCATTCAATTTGTTGCTCACATGCTGATCTGTTTTAGAATTGATGATTCTTCCAATCTGTGCAGCCTGATATCTAACTGAAAGGTTCTGTGTTCAAATGGTGCATGCTCTGTTATTTTCAGAACAAAGTCAATATATTCCTTATAGAAGTTGCTAGAGCAATAATAATATATCAAACTTTCTACGTTTTCCTTTCAGCTACAAAACGTTTCGTTTTTTTTTTTCCAGGAGTACTCTTACTGCTAAAAGATTTGTCTTCATTTATGATTTTCTGAAGAACACATGTTTTACTGTCTGTATAACTTGATCATAGAAGGTCCTGGGACCCCATCTAATTTTGAAGATTGTGGTTAGAATGTCAAAACCTTTACCATGGCCTGTGTCTTTTTGACACAATACTGGTTTGCATGTGTATTGACAATCATTTTTGCACTAGTGAGAGTGCTCCTCACTCTGTTCTTGAATAGGTTCATTTCTATGGTGCTGTCGCTGTTGTCTGTCCTGAATTACATATCTATTTATCTTGGTCATTATCAATAGACAAACTTAGATGAGGACTTGTCTGACATGTTGATACACATAGGAGGAAGGGGGGTAGCAGGGAATAGTTGGGTTGACTACGGCCTATTTCTCTAACATATAAGCTTGTCTCACATGTTCATAGCTTTTCTCGGTTATATTTATGGATCTTATCCAAATCTAATCAACGTTGTGAAAGTGCTTATCTGCATATTTAATGCCTTCTTCATTGGGTTACTTCTCCAGGACGCTGATATCATGTGGTTTAGGGATCCGTTTCCACGGTTCTTCTCAGATGCTGATTTCCAGATTGCATGCGACAACTTTTTAGGCAGACCTGATGATATGAATAACAGACCCAATGGGGGATTTAACTATGTAAAGTCCAATAATCGGTCAATAGAATTCTACAAATTCTGGTATTCTTCACGTGAAACTTATCCAGGATATCATGATCAAGATGTCCTTAATAAGATCAAGTTTCATCCTTTCATCTCAGAGATTGGACTGAAGATTAGATTTTTGGATACTGCTTATTTTGGTGGCCTTTGTGAACCTAGCAAAGATTTGAATTTAGTGTGCACAATGCATGCAAATTGCTGTTATGGTATGGATAGCAAGCTTCATGATCTCAAAATTATGCTTCAAGACTGGAGAGCATTTATGTCATTGCCACCAGACCTGAAGAAGGAATCTATTTTCTCCTGGAGGGTCCCTCAGAACTGCAGGTACTCTTGCTGTCTATATCTGGACAACCTTTTCTCCTTTTTAGTTTGTTACTATGATCTGTAGCTTTTCCTCAAAATGGTTTCTCTGTTGTAGCTTTTCCTCAAAATGGTTTCTCTGTTTTTTTCTTTTTTATCTGTGTTACAGTCTTAGTTCTTTACGCCATTTTGATTCCCCACCTCCAGAGATGAAGGCTCAACAAGAGGAAAAACATTGATTGGAATTGTACATATCTTTAAATTATTTTCCGTCAAAAGATAAATGAGAGGGTAAGCTTTCTGGTTCCATTCATTTTTGTGATAATTCCTCATTTACACACTGAATTGATGGCGGTGACTTTTTTTTTTTTTTGGGTATAATTGTTGTCCGTTGATTCAAGTTGCTTTCAGCACCAACAAGCACCTCCCACTTATTTCCCTCTCTAATCTAAGTAATATTTCATTTTCTTTATGCTACATGACAGATGTTAGCAAGATCATGTATCTAGTTGAAGAAGCTTGAATGTCTAAACTTAACACACGAAAAGGAAGGCTTAAAAGAGTTTGGCTCTTTTTACTAAAAATATTTCATTCACAAGGCAAACTTTTTTGAATGAATTGCAAGCCAGAGTACTTGATAAATAAAACGCAAAAAAAAAAAAAAAAAAAAAAGAAGGAAAGAAAGAAAGAATTGGGTCTAATGATGAGAAGTGAACCCACTATAGTCTCAACAGTGACTGAGCACCCTGTTAGGACCACTGTTAATATAAATTGTTAAGGAGTACAAATCTCATTACTGAGTCACTATGTTGCTTAATATTTTTTGATGAATCCATGTTTGTTGTGACTGAGAAATTGGCAGTGAGGATCCGCAATTTGGTTCTTTTGCTGTGGAAAGTTGTTTGACTTTAGTGATAGTACAAGTGCCAATTCCATGGAAAAATTGTGCTATTTCAGTTGAGCTGAACCGAACCGAACCGAACCAGACAAGTTTTCAAAATTCTGTATTATAAATTGTCAGACAAGTTGTTTACGCAGGATGATATGTATCCAATTTTCTATTCAGTATTTTAATCAACACGACTCTCATTATTCCTATCATCTCTAATTTGGTTTATTGCTACTTAGTTTTTTTTTTTGTAGCATTTTTTTTTTTTTAACAGGGTAGTCAAAATATGGCCTATGTGTTCCATTTGAGGACATTGAATTTAGTATATGCTCAACTTAAATACAGGGTAACTTTATACAATAAAACTAATGTTTCCCAATTTGACTGTGTGCTATCAAGGAATGATGTACATGGTCTACATAGACTATACAAACTACTACCTTCTGAGTAAGGAGTGGCTATATCACATTAGATAAAAACAAATGATATGGTCAACAGAACACACGATTAGAGATTTTATCCAAGAACAGCATCCGTGTCCAGCTGCTGTCGGCTCATGAGAACACCCTCATTCCAGATCTCAATGGACCTGTAAATATAGAGAGTGCAAATAAAAATAAGTCATGTCACAGTAGATGCAGTTTGTGATAGCAGAATCTATTCAAAGATAAACCATTTATTCTGGGAGGAGGGGAGGGGGGCATATCTCTGTTGGTCTACCAGATATCATGGCAAAATGAAGAAAAACTTAATTCCTATATAATGCTGGACGATTTATCTGCATTTTTCCGACATAGAATTGCAAAGGTAGCCATTGCTCATAATCATGTTAGTTTTACCTAGGCGATGGCTACATGGATTCGTATCTAGAGTATAAGATAATATCACATGTTTGTACACGAGATGCATGCTTCATAAACAATTGGAGCTAATAATTTTTACCACATAGTCAACTGTCCATTTATTATTTTAACCAAAAAACCACAAGTGATTAATAAGCACATGTTTATGCAGGATCTTAGACATGACACGCAAGTTATATTGTGATATGAACACACACCTTGCTCCCTCAACATTAATACAAAGGAAGTGGCCATGTCGCCATCCATCTTCAAAATGGCCGAAGAAAACATTGCCAGATTTTGAGTAGAAGCGACCTTCACCATTGGCCTTTCCCTTCCAAAAGTTTGCAAACCACCGATCTCCAGTGTGAAAATAAAACCAACCCTACATGACCATGTAAGATAATTTTATCATCAATAAGTTAGAAAGAGAAGTATATATACATCGTCTATCAGATCTAGAAATAATTAAATGCTCTATGTAGATAGTTGATTTTGGTTATTACCTATTCTCTTTAGAATTATTTTAAAACGTGATGTTGTATAGAAAATAATGAAAACAACTAGAACAAGTGAAATACTGCTTCATACAGAACAACTAAAGCAAGTGAAGCACTACTTACGTGGGACAACTAATACAATTGGAACAATTACTTCGCACATAATAACCATTTCACTAGCAATGAAAATAACCCAAAATAAGTGATAGGATTCACGATTACTTTCATCTTGGGATGTTTCGAAAAGTTTGACTTGATGGCTCCTATATGGAGGTAGTTAAGAGATTTTCATCAATGTTTCTCCCTCTTATTTTTTTCTCGTGTACCTGTTCAGGTCTTGTACCTATTACACCTTTTTTTCTTGTTCTCGTATAGCTTTTCACGTATACCTCTTCTTTATTACCTTCTACTCGAGAACAAGTTTTATTACACCCAATTACCTCAACAATTATATAATGAGTTTTTAACCATTATATATAATAAAATTACTATTTTAATATCCACATAATGAGTTATAATAACAATTACTCACATTAAAGCTTTTCATAATAATGTCATTCATTATGCACATTAAAGCTTATTCTTGAGTAACCACGACTTTTGACACTATATATAGAGAGCCTTCGCAATTCATTTAAGGATCTTCACTTTCTTAGAGCTAACACATTCTCACCTAGAGCTTCATTCTCTAAATTCTCTCTCTAGCCCTTTTCAACTTATTGCTTCTCAGCTTCACTCCATCGCTTGCCTATTCTATACTTATTCTCAGTCTTATTCAAATACTTTGGCAATACAGTTATTCTACTACTAGTCTATTCTTTACTTATTCTTAATCATTACTCTACTATTCATTTATTCTCTTCCACCTGCCATGACACTCAGTACTTCAAGAACTGCTTCAATCTTTCTCTCTGCTGCCTCTGATACATCCTTTTTACTTAATTGCAACACTTCCTCACCTTATTATAGAAACCCTCTCTACACTTTGTATTAAGAAAAAAAGGACAAGGGTCAAATTTACCACTCTACTATTTTTTGGTGCAATTCTAGTCACCTATCTTGTCCAATGTGAATGAAAAAGACACTGTTGCTTTCCTCCCGTCTTTAACAATTCACATACTTATAAGAAAATTAATCTTGCTACCTAAATTTCTTAACTTGTCTTGAACTTGGTACTTTTTTCACTCTAACCAAAGCCAAATTCAACTTGAAGTAAAGTACCAGGATAATTCAGAGAAATGACTAAGAAGAGAATCAAAATTTACTGAATTCAATAATAAGAACCAGATATAGCTGGACAAATACAAATTCAAAGTCAAAAAAAGTTAAACAGCTACTACCAGTTTTTTATGAAATATGGAGAAGTGGATAAGAAAGCCAATATTGACATTGTCATTTTTATCGAAACTGAAGATCAGCTTCATGTTTGAAAAAAACAGGGTTGGGAAGGCCTGACCTTGCCATGCATCAGATCATCTCTCCAAGATCCCTGGAAAACATCCCCATTACTGAAGTAGAATGTACCCAGACCTGATCTCTTACCATAGCGCCAAATACCATCATAAATGCTTCTATCACCAAGGATTAGACGACCCTATATAAAATTTACTCAACTGTCATCTGATTTCATCTCCCAATAAAAAAAAATATACGTCATAAAGGGAGTTTTGTCAAATAAACCAGGGTTATATCAGAGTACCTTTCCTTCAGGAAGACCTCCTTGGCATCGCCCCTTGTAAACTCCTCCTCTGTACTGCATCTCCACAATAGGACTCCACTTTTTTGGTGAATCTCGTTCAGCTTCCTGTGTTAGACTAAATAATTAGAACTAAAGTCATAGCTCAGAGATAGCCCGTAACTCCCAAAGATGACAGATATGCTAAATGATAAAATATTAAGGATTTAATCTCTAAAAAAATTTTAGAATAAGGTTAAATTTCGAACATCATATCATTGAACTAAGGCTTGCAGTAAAAGAGAGCCACAACATGAACTAATAGACAAACCTGTCATTACTAAACAAATGAGAAAAATTATCCACTTCTGATAACGGCATTCTGATAACCTTTTTCCTTTTAGTTAAGTTACTGGCAGTGTTCTGGACTCTAGCTATGTCTCTTTTGCAAATGGCAGTTTCAGATAAGCGTTGCAGTATACTTAAATTATTGTAAAATTAACTGCAAGGATCAACACTCTAAGCTGACATGAAAACAAATGCATATGGTAAGTGAACAATAAATAAACAGGTTTTATAACTGAAGATATTGTAGTGTAAGCCTACTTAGCATGATTGTACACCTTCCAAGACAAGGATAAGAAACTAGTAGGAGTCCATATTTGACAAAGAATATTCATTATGCCTTAAAACTGCTCTTACGGTACATGGCCCAAGCAAGGAATTCAAATTAACATGCCTTAAAAGCTGAACCAAAAGAAAACAGATAGGACGTTAAATGAGATGCAGGTTACCAGCATAGAAGCTGCACGAACAGAAAGTACTCCCTGCTTCTTAGAAATATCAGTCTTTCCCTTTAATAATGTAGATGCAGTGTTATAAAATTCCCTCATCACTTCCAAACTTGCATCACTCAATGCACCCCAAGACCTACTTGAACTAAGAAATGATGGGGCTTTGACATCATTTTCAGATTTTAATTCTGGAAATTCTGAGGCATACAAGGTATTGACACCCTCTTTCAACTCTTCTGAAGACCTTACTCCAACAGGAAGGCAGAAGATGCTGAGATTATCAAGCACCGGAGTAGCTTCTGAGTCAGCTGCTCTTTCTTTGGCCCACTCCTGTGCAAGCTGATGTCCTGGACCCAAGTTCCAGCCACTCAGTGGCTCGCGATGGAAAGTAGGAATACCTGGGATATGGAAAATGAATGAGCTGATTCACTTTTCCAATATGCAACATCTGCAGGTTCTTGACAGTTACTTAGACAATCATGAGTCATCAAATTGTGAATAGTTACTCTAATCTAACAAAGTAAATTTGTTATTGCTACCTTCAGTAATTTCATCATAATAACTGGAAGAATCAGTTGTTCCATCTAATGAAGCAACCTCGTTTTGATCAGATCCACTGTCATCATTTATCCAATAGGAAAACAATTCGTAGCTTATAAGCATTTTACTGAAGAGAGAACCTTTTAAGAGAATCAAATTGTAAATGAATTACAACCAAACCTCAAAGAGTAGAGATCACTGGGTTTCCTGTTTTCTACTTTCTGAATTTCTCCAGAGTAATCATCAGAGTCTCCAGATATGCCTTCTAAAGCTAGTTTATTTCCCATCTCATTGGAATCTATCTTATTTATCACCATGAAATCATCTCTGGAAGAACCATTTGACTGTGAAGGATGACTCCTCAAAAGTTTGAAAACAAACGGGAAATGCTGTGCCAGTCTAGTAAAAATGCTGCTTTTTTGCGAAGTTTGTTCTTCAAGATGACTGGAAATCACAAAAGCTTTAGGCCAGGCTAAGAAGAAAAGAAAACAGCCAACAGAACTTGGATTCATAACCGCCATATCAGTAATTGAGAATGAGCAAAAGATGTTGTTGCAACAAACTGCAAAGACAGGAATCATAAAAACTAAAATTTATGCTACATAGTTTCAAAATATTGTCACAATCAAGATAAAACTACCATCAGGATTGTGCTGACCTATAAATGGCTACCACGAGCTTATGCCATGGAGAAGTCTTATGAACTGATTAAATTACATATTAAACTTCAATCAAATATCTACCCCCTAACAATCATGCAGCAGAACCTATCATAGCTAAGACTTCAATGCAACTCATTCAAAGGGAGGAAAGGGAGGAAGCTGCATTCTAAGATTTCAATGCAACTCATTGTCATGCCATTTTGCCTTGTAAATTCTCATCCAAGACTTAGAGCTGCTGTTTATGGGCTTGCTTTGGAGAACATATCCAGCACTTGGGAAAAGATACTTTCTCGTAGGTGCATATGCCTAACTAAATTCACTATCCTCCCTATGTTTATCATTTTTGTCTATTTTGGAATCAAGTTGAAATTTAACTTCTACTGTTGTAAGTTAGGTACATTTTGAGTTTTGGCTGATGTCCTTTTGGCGTTTTAAGTGATAATCTACTGGCCAAGTCAGTAAAATCAAGAGTTTGTTTGAATAAATTGACCCAATTAACCAAAATGAAGAATTTGAGGGGCTAGTTGAACTAAATAAATGTCACAGAGCTCAATCATACATTCAATACTTGCTTTAAGGGCCAAATTTACCTTTTTGTCTAAGTAGGGCTGAACAAAAAAATCCAAAGAAGGAATTTGAACTGTAGTGTTCAGTTCAGATCAATTTTTATATCGTATTGGTTCCAATATTACATTAATCTATTTGGTTTGGTTCACTTTACAATACTTACAATGAAAACCCAAAATGATCAGAACTGGACCATATTGTACTTTTTTAATTAAATTTTATATTACATTTTAGTTTAGAATTAAAATAAAAATATATATTTTAATTCTAAAATAATACTTAAAAAAATAAAAAATCTTTAAAATTTGAAAACCAAGGAACTGATCCGAACTGATGGAATTCCATCCAGGTCAGTTCAGTTGCAAAAGGCATTTGGTTTGGTTTCTCAAAAACCAGAATGCTGCAAAAGTAACTGAAAATTTATTTTCCCCTATGTCTAAGTACATATATTATGCTTGAACAGAAAATGCCATAGATCCAGTTCCAATATTGACATAAACAAGGTCAGCTACCTCCAATCAATCAAAAGAAAAGGGAAAAGGGGAATTTTCACTAATAAAGAGCAACACTTCAATTATACCTCATGACAATAATCATACTTTATGATATAACTTTAAACATGAATATAGCTAAAACAGTTGAACTGCTAGGACCAATTAGGAAACTTTAATTACTCTCTGGTTTAGGAAATTGCTTCTGAAAAACTTTAAGGAACAAACAATGGACAGAAACAACTAGTTTGTGCAGCCATACAAGTTTATATAAATAATTAACAGATGAACAATTCTTTGCAATGTGATGGTCTATAAGGAGTTTTAAACTTTTAGGTGCCAAAACCTCAAACCAAAGAAGTTAAGGTGAAAAAACCTGAAAATGAATTTGAATTCATGAAAAAACTAATCTGCTGATAAATGCCTAACACATCAGAGTTTTAGGGAAAATAACATATCTAGTTAAAGAATACCAAATTGACAATTTTATAACTAAGAGAACATTAGTAATATATTTGTTGCCATCTTATTTCTAAAGCAAGATTTCTCACCCCAAGAGAACAACAGTTGTGACTAGCAGGTTGGGCTCCAGATTAGGTTCATGAATTACAGATATCATAACGTCCTCGGTGTACTCTGCAGTTTGACGGAATGTATGCAAAAAGGCTTGCACATCATTGTTGTTGATAACATTTGAACTAGCAACAACACATATAACCATGCCATCGAGGTCCTATGTTCAAAAAGGAAATGGTCAAAGCTTGTAATAACATAAGCCACAGTAGGTTGCTCATATATCACAAAAATATTCAAAACAATGATATGATTTTAACCGCAAAGAAAACCATATGAGGATTAAACAACGCAAAATACAAAGTCATGCATGCGGTCACATATGCACATAACTCAACACTTCAAAAGAAACTCATGCCAGATCTGCATTTAAATTTCCTTCAATCATACCTTTACCCCTGCACCAATAAAAGGGCATTCATACAAAGCTTGAGAAATTGAAGTCCTGATATTGTAACCAGCACCAAATCCAAGTTTTGCTTCTTTGTACTTTCCAAGAATCTGTACAAGTTTCCATTCATCCAAGAAAAGTTAATGAAAACAAAAAGGAAGTAAGCAATAAAATCTTATAATTGGGAACAAGAAACTTTGTACATCTAAGTTCCTCAATCAAGGCCAAGAACAAAGTGCCAGTAGCAGCATGCAAAGACAAATTAGGAATGAAGAACAAAATACATGAAAAACAACAAAGTTTAAGAACAAAATACAAAAGTTCAAGAAATAATAAAAAAAGTAATAACTATCGCAAAAAGCAAGTCAGGTCAGCTTACATTTAAAACTTCTGAAACTCTAAGTTCTTTCATATTATCATGCACTGCATCAATAAGCTTTCTTTGCATCTCCTGGAGGGTTCCCAGATTTCACCAATGACATAAGCATGGTGCAGAAGTTAAGTTCCAACCATATAAGGGAGAAGAAATGCTTACACTTATGACCACTGATATTGTGTTCATCGCAAGTAAAGCAGCATTATTTGCAGTTTTCAAAGCCTCATCTAGAGTTACCAACTCATTTTTGAGCAAGGTGTCAGTGTCAATATCTGCACAAGTGCAAACAAGAAGCACTACTTAATGTGCCACTTTAAGGTTAACAAGTCTAGAACCAAAAAAGGAAAAAATCAGCGGGAACTACCAGCATCAGAATGGGCAGTTTGTATTAAAAGTGACTTACTATATATTTTTGGAACAAGTATAGCCAAGTAACTCAAAATCTCTCCTCTCTACCCCCTCTTTTTCTTTTCATTGGTTTCTCTTATAATTATCAGAAATTTAGTTTTCATTAGTAATTACACATAATAATCTCAATGAAAGTGAAAGCATGAACTTTAAAACCATAGCTAAACTATTCCAATTACTCAACCAAAGAGGACTGCTCACATAGTCCATTAATCGGTTCTAAACCACTGGATGTCATTCAAAATGAAATTTAAAACTAAAAAACCAGTTGTGCGAGTGAATGACTAAGCTGTAGATTGTCATTTAGGCCACCTAGAAAAGTAAGAACCATCATTTTGATCAGTGTAATGGTTAATGGAAAGCATATTGAAGAATTTATACAATGAAATGCAATACATTATTTTGAAAAGCCCAAGCACCTTAGAAAAAGGTTAAATTGTTAAAAGCCATGGAGTGTGAGGGATGAGCACCTTATACCAATTGACGGTAGATGGGTCACTTTAGTAGTGGTGGCTTTAAGAAGGGATGCGTCTCCTCTGACGGGTGGATTTTAATATCGCCACAATTGGTTCAATAAACAAAATAAAATAAGACTCTCTATTGGGAAAAAATTGTTATCCATAATGCCAATTATGCGGAATGGACTAATTCAATCATAACTCAAATAATGGTAGGTTTCAGGTATTCACCACCCTTACAGCTGATTGCAGGGAATTGCACAGACAAATTAAGAAGAACAAAGCATCCTGGAAGATCAGATAACAAGAACAAGAGAATTTGGTTTTACAATCCTAAGCAATCAAGTATAAATGGGTTACGATAGAGGTCCAGCAGGTTTTTCATATTGCAATCACAAGGAGAGCAAGGCAAGGACTGATTAGAGCTCCCATGTCATGATACTGCAGAATTACATCATGTGCCGCATGTCAATGAAAACACACAATCTTCTTCTCCACAGGGCTCCAGACAGATAGCCACCCCTAAGAAGAATGGTTGCCCATCTAGGAAGCCTCATATTTTCTACCACCAAAAAAGACCCTCAATGTGATTCCAATAAACCAAGAGACATAGCAAAACTCCAGGTGTCCTGTTAAAAGAGAGCAACTATTTGTTTCTCAAAAAGCACCAAGTTCAAGTAGCTTCTTGACAATGGTAGGTAACAACATCAGGATGCTATGTAGAATAACCTTGGGAGGACTAACGTAGTTATGTCACAATAAAAGATTCTATATGTCCATGAGGAAGCCCTTGGGAGTTCATAATTGATAATATTTGGTCATCATTTTTAAACAATGGTGAATGTTCAACTAACAAAATGCTTGTATCATACTTACCGATACAAAAATTTGTAATCTCTTGAAGTTTTCCAACCAAATCCTTGACCTGCAAATCGATTTAACAGTTATGATATGTGGTGAAAAGGAAGCATGAAAAGTATCAGTTTGAACTGCTGTCCACAGCTAACCCAATAACCTCAAATTTTAAAGCTCCCCCTTAATGGTACACTGTAAGAAGGCCTATACGCCTACATAACTTCGTGCCTAGTACTTAGCAATTAACCACCCAAACACTTAGTTAACTTCGGGGAGATTCCTGCGACAGACCTATAGACTCCGGGTACGATTCAACTCTTGTTGATCTTCAAATTCTCATTTATCATTCTACTTAGTTATAAAACCAAAGCGAATGAGCTTTAGCTAACATAATCCAAGTAAGCAGGTAATATCTAATCAGTCTATATCATCAATTTGTCTACCTATTTATCATAGACTATGAATTCTCCAATATTTTTGGGTTGCATAGTCTACACTCAATAACTTTTTGTAAAGTTTAATGTTTCATGGTATGGCTCGCATCTAAAACCAAAATAATAGTGACATTCCACATATCAATTAAGATCACTTTGCCAATGGTTTGTATTCAAGGAATATTGCAGACATTAACTTTGAATTTGCAACCATGTGAAGTTGGACTCCAACACATTACCAAAAATGTCATGGCATAATCCACTTTAATCGGAATTAGCCATGAGACAGACAGACTTATAAAAAGAATGGATGTTGTTCTTGTTCTTGTTCTAAATTCACCTATATAGTAGAAAATTCAGTTCTTGAAGCTAAGGGCATTTATGCCAAAGAATAATATACATTATACAGGATGATTTTAAACTGTTATATCATGCATTCTCTATTTCTTGGAGTAAAATTTCATATGTTCTTCATGGTCAAGGAGGTCATGTCACAATTTTGAAGCATTACTGACCTCATCAAGTCGCCTCTGTCCTTCAAAACTGAAAGGCTTTAAAATGATAGAAACAGCAAATCCACTGGCAGATCTTATTGCTTTAAGTATGTCAATTGCTGCAATGTGATCCAAGCCAAATCCAGCACCAGCCACCTGGTTAATTGAAAAGAAAAAAACAAGGAGAAGGAATTGGAACCAAGTTTATCTTGTAACTTCATTTATCAAATTACAGCACAAACCATAAGGGAAACAGTACTGATGCTCAAAACTTTGAACAATAAGACTACCAGAATAGTCAAATAACCATTAAATACCACTGTGTCAAACCAAATAAGGCCTCTAAGCTTTTTATTTTGAAGCTGTGTTTGCTGAACCTTTTATGGCAAATTAAATCAAGTAATCAACCATGCAGATTGAGTCAATATCCTTTGCCATGCACTAAACTATAGACTACACACCAAGAAAGGTCATCCTATGGAAGGTCAATATATTCCAATAACCCTTTTGACATGCTTCTTTTGAATAATGTCCCTATTCTACAAGAAAAGATGTGCAATCCTTAGTGAAAACTAGCCATACACATGTCAGTTCCCCCACCACGACCCCAAATCAAAATTTATACAAAAATTTCTTATAGGCCAATCATCTATGATGGTAGTTGAAGACTAACATAAGGAACAATGTCATGGAAAAAATCTACTGAGATTTTGTAGGTTGACTAATTTGCTTTAACTTTTGTCTTATTTGGAGTCTTTTTAGGGGGCTAATGTAAAGTAATTTAATTTACTTAAGGTCAGCACACTACAAAAAGATCAGAGAGACAAATAGGATAAATAGAACAAAAAAAGTATTCTAAGGAACAATAGTACTATTTCAACCTTACAACTAAGAAAACACTGAGTCAACAGGGAAGTTGGCGGAGAAATATTACAATCTTTTGCTTTCACACATCTTAGCATTTGCAATTTCTAACAGCAGCAAGGGTATAATGAAGTATGAAATATATAAGGTAAGTAAATGAATTATAACATATAGATTGCGGATGTTGAAAGTTTATGATATCTAATACACATATGATACACCTCGTAGAAGTAGTTATGCTACTTAATTACCAACTTATAAAAACTGCTCTAATAACCATTCTGACTGCATCTAGTCCACATGTGGCATTCTATTCTTGTAGACTTTCATTCTATTTAATCCATAGTGGGAGGGTCATTACATCATCATTGCAAACAGCCTTTGTATAGTATTTCATTTGATGATCAGTAATAATCAGTATTCAGTGCTTTCTATATTTTTAAAAATAAAACATACAAAAGATGCAAGAGTCCAAGGCAAGGAATGTACAAACAAGGATGATAGTCTTTGAACATGACTGCACGAAAATAGCAGCTTCCACAATCCTTGGTGTAATATCTGCAAAGGAGAACAAAATGTACTACAAAAATTAGCTTAAGTTTTTGCATGTATGTCATGACAAGCTTATGAAATTTACACATATCAAAATATTAAAATACAAAGTTGAAAAAGTAATGAACCCCAAAAAAATTTCCAGCTTTTCACCATTTTCCTTTTCTTTGTCTTGTTATCCCTAAGGCCTTTTTTTTTTTTTCATTTTTTTCTATAAGGTATGAATCTAATATCTACCTTGACCCCACCCCATCTTTACTACTTTAGCCAATTATTATAATTTGAAACTATCCTAAGTTGTTATACTCTTACTCTCAATGCTGCAAGAAGATATGCTAGGTTATGGTGAAACAAGGTACAACAAAAGTCAATTTATAGCCGCGAGGCAAGCAAACTGCTCCAAAAATAAAGTAAAAAAAGGATCAATCAAATATTCAGTAATTGGTAATTATTTCCAGAAACAAGTAAAAGGAGCAAGCATTAGTTCTAATTCAGAACTTAATATGACTGAGTCAGAGTGATATTTGATTTAATGATCTTCCTAGAGTAAGGTTACAATATAATGCTTCTTTGAATGAAGCAAAGAATAGCCATAGAGCACATCTGAAGAATGCTTGAACAATTACAAAAGAATGATAATGTAGGAATGCCTTTTATATACCAGAAGATGGCAAGGAAAATATGCATCTTTACTTGGGAAAGAAAAGGAAAAGAGCATTCTCTATGACAGGCCATAGAAATATGTAAATATTTATGACATTACATTGTCAAAAAGAATAAAGAAGATAATGTGACCTTTACCACCTTTGCTTGGCAAAAATTTGACACTAACTTTTATTCAGGAGTTTTTAACTGGTAAGAAACAATGCCAAAACACATTCAGTGAAGCAACAATTATCACGCATCCATCAGAACATGCATTCCAAAGATGTTCATGTTCCTAAAACTGAACATGGCATGACTCATTGAGCAACAAACAAATTGAAAATAAAAAACAATACCTTCTTGTCACCAGAGAGGGCAACAAATTGATTCTTTATGACATAGTAAGTAATACCACAAGTGCTTCCTATTAATTGAATCCTTTACACCAGGAATCAACCAAAAGGAAGAGGTGCACGAAACAGAAAGTGACCCTTATTGGGACACGGGAACAAACAGATCATCTTCCATGAGAAAGACAACCTCTAAAGACACAAACACGTCAAATTAGGAGTTCAGTGGAAAAGATATTATTTTCGCCTAAGCTCCAACACAGTGCTTTTACTATGCAATAGGCTTATGCTTCTATGGAATCCAATGCGTTCTTTTGCCAGCTATATGTCTGAATTAAGATTCATAAATACAAATCTAAAATCTCAATCTAAACTGTCAAACACCCAACCCACCTGTCCCCGCCCCATCTACAACCACTTCATATAACCAGACACCATTTCTGTTTTATCCATGTGGAAAGAAAACAAAGAATGAGAAACATATTTCAGTAGCTTCTGCTTACACATTCCAAGCGTTGAAATAAAAAGTAACATTGCCATTACTAAAACCATAGAAAAAGGAGCTCCAAATATCATAAATTCGAAATATACTCTCACTTCTACCCTTCATAAATGCTGTCAACATATTACGTGAAGATGATGGGTTAAACATCTACAATAATTTTAAAAGAAGGCTATCAAATTGTAAATTAATTTTAGATACCCATAATGGTAAGCTAGTGTCATGATTATTACTTATTTATTATTTGGAATATGTGCTCACATGATTTTCAGTGATTGAAAGAGCTAGCTAAAAGTTTATAATGAAAATTCACATCGGCTGTTCCTTACATGCCTTTTTCACATTGGCCTTAATCATTTTAGTAGGAAAATAAAATCAGGCACAAAAATTACTTAGCTAAAACTCAGGTTTCCCTCAGGCACAAAATAATTCATGAAAAGTCACTAAAGAAAAGGAGGGCTCTAGCATTGGTAGCTGTTGGATAACAAACAAAGTTTGGTTCTTAAGTATGCTAGAAATCATGATCTTTCACCAGTGTAATACAAATTATCTCCACTTGAAATATCATAAAGGATTTAAATGAAATTTGCATGTAATGCAAGAAACTTCAAAGAAACAGCCAACCTAAGAATTGGTTTTAAGATAAAGTAACTACAATGGAATTCTCCGGTCTAGGTATCATTTCAAATTTGAATTTGATGTTTGCTAGATACAGCATGATATACTAACTAAAGAGTTAAAGATAGGGAAAAAAAAAACCTTGTCCTAGGAATCTTTGTTGTAACTGCACATTTGATGTGTCTTTCATGAGAATATTCCTGGACAGAAAGAAAAACAAAGAGGGAGAATATCAAATATACAAGTATTGAAAAAGAGAGGAGGCTAGAAATAGTTGACAACTATAGCTTAAACCAAAAGCTTTTGTTTTAACTTTATGACAAGATTGCTCGAAAGTATCCTTGAAGAAGAAAATATAAATTCATAACAACAATCTAAGGCAGAATTTGAAAGGGAACACTAAAGAAAACGAGAACTGAAGCAAATTTGGCACTTCATGCCATTGAAGAAGTTTTGAGATTATATGTCAAACCTCTCATTAGTTGCAATTAAAGCAATTCAGATCTATTTATTAAACAAAATATTTGCCCCTAGACATGAGTCAGTAAGACACTACTCTAGCAAAGTGGTCTCACTGGCCTATGTCACAGACTAAGTGTGACAAAGCAAGTGGCCACCAGAAAGCTGGCTACTGATTTCAGTTGCTATACACAGTTCTAACTGAAAGCAGGCAGCGCGTAATGTTCTCAGCAGGTATAGAAAGCCAGAACTTTTGAGTTTAACAAGATTAACATGACAACAAGACCTTCCAAGTTAGCTTCTTTTCATTGCATCGCCAACCATAAAACCATAATACATATGTCTATCTTGCAACAAAACCGTAATCGAAAACCTTACTAGCAACGCAACGTTGACAATAACATTACTTCCAATCTAGCTCTACCCTTTGGAACATGTACAAATAAGCAAATGAAAACATACCCACTTACCCAAAGCATGCCTACTAAAAATTAAAACCCTTAACAAAAATTTTTAAAGAAATTAATAGGGCATTTACCAAAATCTCAAAGAAGACAATTGGAAAGGCGAGTCCAAGCAAAATTCAAGCACAGCATCTTTCCTACTACCAATGGCAATCACTTCCACTACCCCACTATTCTTTTCCCTGTTATTTCCGTACCCACTTACAGAACTAGATTGTTTCTCTATACTCATCGAAATTTTAACAATAGACCTCAAGTTACAGCTCAATTTTTTACAACCATAACGTATGGGACCAAAGTAAGATTTGAAAGAAACAAGCTTTGAAGAGGAATGTGTTAAAAAGGAAATGCGAGAAGCTGATTGAAAACTCAAGAGAACTGGAACCTCCATTGAAGCAGCGGGCATTTTCCTTTTTGTTGCAAAAAATTTGTCAGCTGGCTTTTGAAGCAGTATTAGATTGTTCTCCCCTTTTAAGAGAAGAAGAACTGGTTTTCAATCTGGATAATAATAATAATAAAATATAAATCAAATATTGTCGTTGAGGCCCAATTAGTTGGGCTATTTTGGGTCTGTTGGAAACCCAGGAATAAATAAATACCAATAATAAATATATCTCAACAAAGAATGTATTAGGTTTGCTACTAAACCTTTAGATATAATTTTTTATTATCTAAATCAAATGAAAACAACTTGATCTCTAGTACCAACATGTTGTGGATTGATAGTCTCATTTAGCGCCTATGAAGTGATAATCAATGTTTAGTCTTTTCATGAAGAGTAGGATTTTTGCATATATACATAATTGATTGATTATCACAATACATAGCCACAGAATTTTTATTTTGGATGCCAAAATCATGTAATAAATATATAAGGCGTAGTACCTCACAACATGCCAAAGCCATTGCTCGATATTTCGCCTACGTGGAACTTCAAGCAACAATAGATTATTTCTTCGATTTCCAGTTGATGATAGAGTTTCCAAGAAACACTCCAAATCCATATATAGACCTCCTGGTATCTTTACATCCAGTGCAATCACTATTTGGATAAACTTGTAATTGTAAGTTGGATTCAGCTGACAATAAGATTCCTTGGCTTAAAGTTGACTTTAAACATCTCAAAACTCTATATGCAGCTTGTAAATGTGTGACCTGAGGCTTGTCCATAAATTGAGAAAGGCATTGCACAGCAAAAGATATATCGAGTCTAGTCAAAGTTATGTAAAGAAGGCTACCAACCAGTTTCCTATAGCTTGTGGCATCTTGTATGAATTCTGTAGCATCATCCTTTGTTAACTTATTGTTGTAATCCATTGGAGTAGTGATGGGTTTGGCACCAAGAAAGCCACATTCATTGATTAGATCTAATGTGTATTTACGCTGACAAAGAAAGATTCCTTTTTTTGACTATGAAATTTCCAAGCCTAAGAAATATCTTGGTATTCCTAGATCCTTTAACTTGAATTTGGACTTAAGAAAATTTTTAACAACAGCTGAAGCAGCTAATGATGTACTCCTAATTGCAATATCATCTACATACACCAATAAGGCAATGAAATCACCTTTGTTAGTAGTTTTGGTAAATAAAAAATACTCACTCTTGGACTATTGAAAACCAAAACTAAACAAGGAATCTGTAAAGTTTGAATTCCATTGCCTTGAGGCATGTTTAAGGCCATATAATGACTTTTTCATCTTTCATACAAGCTTGCAATTGTTTAAATAATCACCTTTTACCTCATATCCTTACGGCAAATCTGTATACACTGTCTCATTAAGTTCCCCATTTAAAAAGGCATTATTTATGTCTAACTGACATAAATGTTAAGCTTTAACTGCTGCTAATGCAAAAAATGTACGTATTGTTGTTTGCTTGGCTACTGGACTAAAGGTTTTAGTATAATCAAAACCTTCCACTTGGCTATATCCCTCTGCAACCAGCCATGCCTTGTATCTCTCAACAGTTCCATCTGCATATAATTTTACCTTATACACCCACTTATAACCCATAATATGTGCGTTGTCAAGTAAGGGAACAATAGACTAAGTCTCATTCTCTTCCAAGGCCTCAATTTCATGTTTCATGGCATTTCTCCATTGATCATATAAAATAGCTTGTCGATAACTATATGGTTCAAGAATATGGTTAACTGAAGCTATAAAAGCCTTAAAAGAAGAAGAAAGTTTTTATGAAGAGATGTGGTTAGCGATAAGATAATGAGAAACATTATTAGTATGGCTAAGTAAGTCACAATGATAAACATCTAAGTAATTTGGTTTTTGTCTTATTCCTATACTTCTTCTAGGTTGAAATGAAGAATTGGGATTAGTTTCAAGAATGGTTGAATTTGGTGAAAAGGATGTATTGTCATCAACATTACCTTTTTCTGAATTGCTATTTGTGGCAGTGAAATCAATGAGAGATATAAGTGCATGGATGAATTTGGATAAGTGGTTGTCAAGGGAAAAGGTATATCTTGGTATGAGCATAATGGACAAGTGTTTTGATCTGTGTTATTTTGGGAAAAAAATGAAAAATTTTCTATGTTACTGGTTAAGTTATGAGCATGCAAAGCATTGTTATCCAAAAATAAATTTTCTAGCTCGATAGGAAGATTTTTAGATTTAAAAGGGAAAACATGCTTATAGAAAACAACATCCCTAGAATTGAAGATTTGATGTATATTCAAATCATATCACTTATATCCTTTAATTCTAATGGGGTACCCAATAAACAAACATTTTTTAACTCTTGGGTCAAATTTTCTTCTATGTTGTGCTAGTGTGGAGGTAAAACATAATGAACCAAATACCTTTAAATGGCTATATGAAGGTAATTTATTGAATAAAAGTTCATATGGGGTCTTGTTTTTTAGAACTGGAGACGGTATCCTATTTATGAGATGAGATGCAATTAATATTGAATCACCTCAAAATTGTATTGGAATGGAAGTCTAAAATATTAATGCTCCTGCCACATTTAGCAAATGTTGATGTTTCCTCTCAATAAGCCCATTTTGTTGGGGCATATCCACACATGACAACTAATGTATTATGCCCTTAGAAGAAAAGAATTCAAAAAGATTAAATTCACATGCATTATTAGATTAAATCTGTTTTATTTGGTAATTAAATTGTGTTTCAATCATATTGTAAAAACCTGATACTATAGTGATAACTTTCGATTTATTTTTCAAGAGAAAGGTCCATGTGAACCTGCTATAATCATCTACAATGGTAAGGGAAAATTTATAGCCTTTAAAAGCAGCAACATAATATAGATCATAAATGTCCATATGAACCAATTCAAAACAAAAGATACTAGATTGTTCATGTAAAGGAAATTGAAGTCTCTTTTGTTTTGCAAGTGGACAAATTTCACAAATTATATCATTAGAAACATTTACATCAGAACAAAACTATTTAATAACAAACAACCTATTTGAAAGATGTCTCGATAGAAAATGCCAAACATCAAAAGTTTTTGGGACCTTGTTACAATTGGCATTAAAAACATTAAAATTACTATTAACCAAACTTTTTGAGATAATTTTTGAAATTTTCTGAAGAAAGGAGATGAAAACAAAATCTTCAGGGGCATAATGCTCAACTATAGTGGCAAGAAACTTGCTTTGCAAAATATATAGTTCTGCTTGAGTCTTAGCATGACCAGTCATTCTCAATGAACTTGTGTCTTGAATTAGACAATCATTATCAATAAATTTTAAATGATATGTCTAGGTCTTTGTAAGCCCACTTGCTGAGATTAAATTGAATCTAAATTCTGGTACACACAATACATTATGCAAAATTAAAAATGGTGATAGCTTATCTGTTCCTATATGAGACACAATAACTTTTGTATCATTAGGCATCTCAACATAAATGTCTTTGACAGCTTTTGATGATATGAATGATCTTAATGAACATGCTATATGATCTGTAGCATCAGAATCAACAATCCAAGTATGAAGGTCAAACATAATAGTAGGTTTAACTGAAGATAAATGTTGTAATGAAGCAGAGTTTGAGGCTAAAATTATACAAGCTAAAATTATACCTGCCATAACAGAGTCCATAATTAAGGATTGTGTTGAGGAGAATTTATCCTAAAGCTGCCATTTGAGGGTGGATTATTAACTAAATTTGTTCCTTGATCATTGAGTAACACCATGAGTTTTTGAATTTGATTTTTTGTAAGAGATATGTTAAACAAGGAGTCTATAATTTCCTCACGTTGATTTGCCTGTAGATTAGCCATAAAATTATTGACTCGAGAAATTGTTCTTGGACATTTGGGGTTTCCCTTTCCCTTTGTAAACTTGAAATTAGGAGGAAAACCCACAAGTTTGTAACACTTCTCCCTATTAAGTCCAGGCTTACCACAGTAGCTATAGACAACTGTAGGTGCAAATTTTTCTTTTTTTCTTCCATCAATGATTGTAGCCTTGGCAGAGGACTCATGAGAAATTTGTGTGTGAGTGATGGATCACTAAGTTTCCTCTATGAGAATAAGGTTGTAAGCCTCGTCTAGGGTAGGAAATGGTTTCGTCAGTAGTAATTGTGACTGCAACGCAACAAAGGATTTGTTAAGCCCATTAAGAAACCTAAATACCATATCATTTTCATACTGATTAATATATTTTTCAAAGCATCTCTCATTACAGGTTCCACAATCACAGCTTGGTAAAGGTCTAAATATCCTCAACTCTTCTCATATAGCATTTAACTCAGTAAAGTAGGCATCAATACCTTTCGTACTTTGTTTGTATTTGATAGAGTGAATTGTAGATGATAGATTTGAGCATCATTAGGTTGGGAAAATCTCTTCTTCAAAGTTTCCCAAATCTGACATACTGAATTCATGTAGAAAATGGTGGAGCAATTGGAGGGCAAATCGACTCAATCAACCATGCAACAATGAGGTTGTTATAGCGCATCCACGAAACTTTGAATGAAGATTTGCCCCTGCTTATGGTAATTTTGGAGGTTTACTAGTGGTGTGGAACAAGTCACAATTCAATGCAATTGACTAAATGATTAGAAACAGATTTATACTGGTAAAAGGAACTTAGGTGTCACAAGGCTTCAAAAGTGTTATTGTCAACGTTTATGCCACTTGTAATCTTGTACCATTGACGGAAAAAATCTACTATGGGAGGAACTTATTTCACTAAAATGCAAACTTTAAGGAAATTGGTGTTGTGCTGGTGACTTTAACACAAACAAAGATGTTGATGAAAGAAAAGGGCTGTAGATTAGAAGGAGGAGGACTTCAACCATTTCATTGATAGTTTTAAATTAGCCAACTTACCATTACATGGGAAAATGCTCACATGGTTTGGTCTCGATGCCAAAAGAAGTAGTCATTTTTTTATGTCAATGGAATGGATCATGAAATTCCAAAATCTTTGATTTGTCAAAGAGACCTTAAATGGTCAATCTCCAAACATTTCCC